GAACAGCTGTTGATGCGTGCGCGCGGGTTTCGCGTTTCTACCCAACCGCCGTTCCACCGCCCGCGTCAAGTGGGGAAGGGCGAAGACCACCTGGCCCAAACCCTGAGCGCTTCGTTCTGTTTCTATGGAGCACAATGTTGCACGATCCCTCGGATCGATCGGCGCGCCGTGAACAAAAGCTACCCGGCTACGTGCGTGGCTACGTAGGCAACATATGTTCGCCACGACGGAGAAAATCCGCGTTCGAATCGGTTCGAGTTTTAATCCCATAAATCGATCGTCGAAACCGTCCGCGTCAGTGTGTCTATCATAGATGTGTTGAGTTGTCGAAATTTATGATAGGCTGTTAAATAAAAATCGCACGCACGACAATTTAGTCACATACAAGAGGTATTTTTATATCGTCGTGATTTTTACTTATGGACCTTTGAATAATTTGGCATGAATTTCTTCTTGACAAAAATACCAAAGTATCAAATATTTTCATAAATATATTGATGATTCTCTTAGTAATTCTCTATAAATACACTTATACTCCAAAAGAATTAATAGCTTAATTATTAAAACATTTAAGTATAAAAATAAAAGAAGTAATCTAAATTGCTTTTATTAAAAGAAAATTGGTTTTATATTGATCAAGCGGCAAACTACAGTTTTGAGACAGCTTATATGATAAACTGATGGTGCTTGTGTGTGTGAGAGAACAGAGTTGGAAAGCGAATCAGCTTCGAGTTAGGGAGTTCTGTTCTAAAAGAGGTATGTTTGAATACAAAAGCAATTTTTTAGAAGCAAAAAAAAAACGAGATTTATGTTTTATAAATCCACACATTCACTTTTATCACATAAATCTTGAAGACTTTCTAACTGCAGGTATACACATAAATTTAATCGTCACAGAAAATTCCTGAATGAATTATTGCATTTTCTATTTTTTTATGTGATTGATTTATTATTAAAGAAGAATGTAAGTATATTTGTTGCATGTATTGTTATAAAAAAAAATTTGCGATTTTACGATGTAATAATAGTTGATTATAAAAATATAAATCTGATATAAATAAATAAATATATATATATATATATAAGCAGTAACCTTTATTATTTACTAAATTAAATAATCAGATTAAGAAATTAAATTAATTAAAATTATAACTTTTTAATCATAAATTTAAACTATATATAAGCATTTCGTATAATTTTAAATGCAAATTTTAATAATAAAGAAAAGATGAAATCAATCTGAAATGATCAAAATGTAAAAAGGATTGTTATAACGAAAACATTGTGATTGCATTTACTGAACTTTTGTTTGTACGTCCGTTTAAAGATGCGACATGCTTGAAAATATCAAAGGAATTGTCACGCATTCCCGAGATCATTAAATATCATAAGTTACTTGGAAGGTAACTACGAGAATATATGTAGGAAATAGGGGAAGAGAAAAGGGAGCGATATCATCGCTTCTCGATCGACATGATTTTCCACACATGACTTCTGGCAATATTAAATATTCATTCGCGGGGTTACTTTGCGTGTCCATATTAATCCGTTTGTTCCACTTTTGTTAAGTGCGTTTGGGAGATTAATTTTCAATCATTATTATATCGATTGTCGATTACCACAACGAGTCGTAAAATTATTAATTCTATAATACTATGTATTATGAGAACGGATTTTATATTAGCTACATTATGTCTTGTGGAAGAAATAGAAAACTTTTTAAAAACTTAGCAAGATTTTTTTATCTTTCTCTACAAAATAATTTTGCAAAATAATTTATGAATAATTTAATTTTTTGTGTTATAAAGATTGCATTCATTTAGTTTTGTGTTGGATATTATTAAAATATCGCTAAAATACTTTAATAGTCATCAGATTTTGCTGAAGCATCTAAAAATTTAACCAGATACATATCTAACAATAATTTTGTTGGACTATCAAAATAATTATATAAATAAGACACTTGGTTGCTAGAATGTCAAAATTTTTTGCAGCATTGGTCATCGTACTTGAAATCCCTATCACCTTTAAATTCATAATGTTAAGTTATATATCCAATTTGAATTGTTTTTAATTATTTCTGTAAGTCACTACTCAATATGTCATTAATTTAACTAAAGCAATAGAGTTAAACGATTTGATTGAATAAAATGTATTAAATTTGACTTAAATTTAGTTCATTATTTACTAAGCGCATACGTTAATATGGACGTTGTTTACTTTGAAACTAACTGAAATAGATTGATTTTTGTATTTTGACACACATGTAGAGATTAAGTAACAAAAATTATTTAACTCACGAGATTGGTTGCCATTGCTCCTTTGATATCTAACAGTGATATATGTAATTATCTTGATGGTCCAACAAAATTATTTTCAGATTTGTATCCAGCTTTCAGTAAAATCGGTTTTTTTTTTCGTGCATCTTATGGCATCTTGATTCAATCTATCTCCTTAGTCACAGCTGGTTGATGACCTCCGCTTTTCAATTGTCCTTCAACATATCCTTCTCGATGTCTACTGCCACACAGTCATTCATGCGCGTGCGCCGGACGTGCTGATGGAACACTTAAATATTCCAGATAAGAACGCGCTATCGCGATTACTCGCTTTAAAATGGGGTTTTCCTCGCGTGTAGGGGGTCAACCGTGATCGCCATTCATGCCACAGCGGGAGGTGTCGTCGGAACCTTTTCTCCGCCACTTTTTGCCATCATTTCTGTGGCACATCACACAAGATCGATCGACTGATGGCCGAAACCCTCGTAAAATCAGTGGTGAATTTAAAGATTTTGTAAGCCGGCAATCGCAGAATCTATAGAGAATTCTTAGAAAAAATAATTTTAGTATTAAAAATCAAATAAAATTTTTAATTTTAATATTTTTGTGTTAAAAACGATTTATCACACCATTATTGCCATTAAATATGCTTACTTTTTTGTATCTTGTAAGACATCAATATCTTATAAATATTTAAAAATGAAAACTTGAAGAAGAATCACAGAATTTAGAGAAATATATTTTAGAAACGATATTTTTAGAATTATTACATTTTGAAAATTATAACGAAAAGTAGGACGAAATATATGAAATAATAAATTCTACATGTCCTTAAATACAGAATATCTATATGTATATAATATAAAGAATTTAGAGATTCTATATAATTACGAATAAAAATAAGGATAATCAGTCGAAACGGAAAGGAAAGAGATTATTAAGAGAGAGGAAATAATTTTCTTAGATGATGATTGTTTATTTTATTATTGCTTCCGAAAGTAATTTGAGAAGAAAACGAACAGTTTAAAAAAGGAAACAGTTTACACACAATGTTGTGTGGGGGGAGGGGGGACGACTTCGTCTTTATCGGCGAAATTCCGCCACTGCGCGAAGCGCGCAACCACACGGATCGGATCGATGCGCGCAAAAAGCTGACCCCTATCCGCTATTTAAAGGCGTATCCCAGATTTTACTATGTGACGAATTTTATTCTGGGTTCTCCTCCCTTAACGGGCTGAATGTATGCGCCGAGCCGTACATTCAATCGTGTGCGCAATCCGTAGAAAGAATGCAATCGGGGATAATAATAAGCCGAGACCAGGCAAGGGAGGGGGTGGCGAATGAATTATTGAGATATCGGAGAGTACGATCGCGCGGGGCGTTGTGAATCGTAATCGAACATCTGAGAACCGACATCTGGAGATGGTGGTGGTGGTTCGGTGGTGGATGTTGTGCCGCCGGCTTGCAACAATCTGTGCTAATGTAACGGTTGCTAGTTTGCTACTTGAAACCGATGAACTTTGTTGCATTAGGGAATTAGTTGCCGCTCTCGCGGGACGATTTCGGTGGGATTCTCGACGGACGAGTATAACATATACGCGGGACGTAAAATGTACTTGAATATCGCATGACAATGAGCCGTTTCGCTATTTTTTAGATTGTTAATTTATGATGGCGCGCCTTCCCGTCTTTATACTGTGCGCCACGATGTTCAGTTAGGGCGTCTCGATATTTATGTATTCAGATTTTAGAAATCTCCAAGACAAATCTGTGATCTATTTTGATTTTTATACATGCATATATAAACGTACACGTATCTCCGTTTATTTTGTACATACATGTACTGAGAATAATGTTGTATCAACAAGAAGTACACGAAAAGAACGATTCTGTTGAAGTATTTAAAAATTTAGTTAGATACAGATCTGGAAATAATTTTGGATCATCAAAATAATTACGTAGAAATCTCAAACATGATGAGCAATGTCGCAAAAAGTTTTAACTAGCAATCAATTCGAGCGTCTTACATAATTATTTTGATAATCCAATAAAATTATTTCTGTATCTACCTAAATAAAATTAAATCTGTATCTATCTAAATTTTTAATTATTTGAGCAAAATCGTCCTTTTCATGTGCAGACTTTTATCTAATATATAAAGGATTATAAAATGGCCTGTCCAACCAGTCAGTTAATTGCTAGAATTTTTGATTATCGAAGCTAGGATTTCGACATTTGAATTAGCGATGCGATATATTTCTAATATAACATGATATGCGACGATAATACTATATACTTGAAATTTCACCGAGCGTAAAATGCCCGTAGCTGTTGACAACGTATTAATATTTTATATATTTTTGATTTCAGGTATCGTCGTCGTGTTGGCCCGTCGCCGGTGAAGCATGGAGGCTGACGGTGACGCGAAGTGAGCGGGCCCTCTCGTTCTCCCCACTCCCTCCCTTTCGAAATACGCACCTGCTGACAGACAGAAAACGAAGGCTGAACCCTCTGACTATACATATATTTAGAAAAAAAAAAACCGTAACGAATCACCGCCAAAAGCTAGTAGAATTTTAGTCAAAGCGTGAAAGAAAGAGAGAGAGAGAGACGTGCAAAATAAATATATATACAATATATACATATATGTGTATATATATATTATAGAACGAGAAAAAGAGAACGAGAGAAACACAAGATATACATACATACTTATATAAATAAATATATAAATATATAAATAAAAAGGAGAGAGGAAAGAGAGTGATTCGTGAGCGTGCGTGTAAATAAGAGCTATTTTTCGTATGAGAGCGAAAGAGACGCGCCCTGGCCGGAGAGAAGCGAGAAACGACATATTCGAAAGCATCTTCGGACGAGGGAAGATTTAGGCTGTTTCTCTTGAAGCCGAATCGTCAAGTGGAGTATAAGAAGAGGAAGAAGAAGAAGAAGAAAAAGAAGACGATCACAGTGGCGGCAGAAGAGAGCGAAAGGATACCGTCGCATCACGGTTGTTTGGACGTTGTTTCGATGTTCTCCAGTCCGGATCGCCGGTGTTTCTTCCCCCTACAGAGGAATAACCCCTCTCGCGGAGACTGATCGAGCCGATATATATATTTCGTGAAAGAAACCGCAGTGAAGGAGGTGAACAAGTGTCGAAGGTAAAGCGAGGAGTGAAAAAAAAGTGGAAAAGGAGGAAGGAAAGAGAGGGAGAAAGAGAAAGACAGCGCAAAAGAGAGGAAGGAAATATAGAGAGCGATCGTGTGGCATCGAGAGGGCCGGCTCCATGTTGTGAGCGTCTGAGGACTGCCGAGGGCAGCAGCGAAAGGGCGGAGTAGGGTGCCGCCGCCGTTATGGAGTACGGTGGCGGGGGCGGTGGGACACGCGGGGGTGTCCAGCCACCCTCCGCGGGGGCGAGGGGCATCGCCGGCACCGACACTACCGACGCTGCGTGGCACAAACACGAACAAATGATGCTCATGGAGTCCAGGCACAAGCAACAATGTGAGTATAAACGCACTTTCTGAGTCATTCTACCTTCTACCCTTTCCTACCGTCGCGGCCGCCTCTCCCTTCATCGTTGATGATACACGTGCGGACTCGGACGGTAACGGGAATTTTCGGAACGGATTGCTGGTTTAAGAGTAGGGAGGCGGGTTATTTCGCAGTCTACATTGATCGAGAGCTTCCGTCTGGAATGTATGATGCCGGAGAAAGGGATTTTGTCGATCTAGGAAAGACTTGATATCGAGAACAATGTAGTAACTTTTAGAGAAATAATTTAATCAATCGGTTTAGTAAAAAAAAATTGCATTTGAAATTTAATTATCGTTATTAATAATGCTAAGGCAACGATCGAAGCCAACAATTAATCATTACAGTAATATATAATATCGATCTAGTAATACATTCAAGAACGCAGATTAATGACCAATATATACATACTTTTAAATTGTTAAAAAAGTAATATTCTTCTTATAAAACTGAATATGAAAAATTACTTTCAAATTACGACTACTTTCGAAATGTTGTTCACTTGGTTGAGATCAGAATGCTTGATTTCTTTCGTATGGATACCATTAATTTTTCCGGAAATTCATGTGATTAATAGTTGGGAGAAATATTTCGCGGGATATCAATTAAATCTCGAATATTGCCGAATTTTTGTGTGTCAGGTTACCGTACTTAATCAGGAATAAAGAGACGATGATTCGAGGCGCTCGATGGAGAGAGACCGCCAAGCTCGAAATATTTAACGCTTTCATTTTATACTGCATATAACGATAATATTGTTAACAATAACATCGTTGACAATAATATAAATTCACATTGAAAATATTATTTAAAATTCATCTTAGACCGTTTAAGGCTTTTATTACTTATAGTAGAAAACTACTAGATTTATCTGTCTCTCTATAATAATAGTGATGCAAAATAGGTTTTTAGTCTCTCTTAAATATAAAAAGAAATATATATTATGAGAGCAAAACTGGTATTTGATGTATCTATTTCCGTTTAACGCGAAGCATAAGGGAGAGAAAAAGAGAAAGCATGTGTCTCCGTATCTTTTTTTTATCCCTGACCTTTGACACGTCTGTATGCACGCGCTATAAAACATCGACGGCTGAATGTTACGAGGGAAAAATGCGAACGGTGTAACCGTAAGTTACGGCGCGCCGGCCTTTGACAACTGACGTTTACGTCTGGTTAAACTGTCGCGTTTTTCCGTCATTTTCGTGCCTTCGGATGCAACACGTTACTGCAGGATAGACTTTCTGTACGTTACTGTTTTCCTTAATATGACTACTTCATAAACTATGCTCATATATAAATATCAGAGCTCTATAAAGATTTCTACAAACAAGTTTTATAAATGTCAGTCATCTCAAAATTTTTTTTTTCGTCTTTCGAATTTTCTATTCGAATTTTTGATTTAGGCTCCTAATTCTGTAAATCTTAACGACAACAATGATATTGTTATTGTCATTAAGAGTTACAGAATAGGGAGCTTAAACGATATTCTTCAATGTCTTCGAAAGATAGTAAAAATTATTATTTGGCGTAATAAAATGGAGGATATATGGAAAAAATGATTTCGTTGATATATGTAAAAATTTAACTATTAAATACAGATTTAAGAATAATTTAGACTATCAAAATAATAATATAGGAAACTCAAGCTTGATGAGAGCAATGCTGCAAAAAATTTTGATATTTTAGCGACCAGCTTGAATGTTCTGTATACGTAATTATTTTAATAATCTAACAAAATTATTTTGAAATCAGTATGTAGCTAAATTTTTAGATTCTTCAAGAAAACCGTGTTCTTACCAATCGTGCTGTTCATTTGCAATAAAGTAAATTTGAGGTAAAATGGCCATAGGTTTTCAAAACAGCTACAAAAATGCTCTAGCAATTATTGGAGAAATTACAGCCTATGGCCATCTTTTTCGTACGGCTATAATACCCGAGTTTATCCTATAACGTGCATCTTATCGGAAGTCATCTTTCTTTTTTTTTCAGCAAGTCTATACATTTACTAGATAAAACAAGAACACTGTATGTATTGTAATTGGTGAATGCATCGAATGATGCAAGTAATGCATCGCGATGAAACAGCAAACGTGCATGAGAACGGCTCAAATTAGCAGGTGCGATATATCGTATTTGCCGAACAGGCTTTCATTCACCATTGTTAGATGAAAAGAGAGTAAAACGCGGCTGATTTCATCCTCTCTTCCCACTGACTCCCTCTCCCTCGGTAGCGTTGTCCGATAATGAGACTCGCGTAACGAGTCGACAGCGGAAGGAACTGCACGATGCCGCAATTGCGGACGACGTCCGCATTTAACTCGGCAATATGATTCGATTAACGACCGTGCTACCATCCGTGTTGTCGCTGCCGGATAATAACGCTGTTCTTTCCCGCATTCGTCGCGAGTGCGAGATGTTAATTGATGTCAATAATCCAGATACCTCAACACACGCGGAGGAACAATCTTATCAATGAATTACGTATCAATTGTGCAATCGGGCTGTTTCAGTTTCTTTGCAATTTCTTTCAGCTACAGATTGTCTTCGTTTTTTAATCTATTCGGGATTTCCCGATTGATTTTTCCTAACGGAAACATCGGGAGACGAACAGTCCTCGGATTAGAAGCGATTGAAAGTGAAGGATTTTCGAAAGATTAAACTCCCGAAGTGCAAACGGATAATAAAGGCCTTCATTTATTATAATTTCAAGCGCGAACTTTGCTTCGGCAGAATTTTACTTTGCGGCGTGCTTATCAAGACAATTAATAATTGAGATTGGGGAGAGATAGTGAAGAAGAATCTGTGAGATAAGGACGACGTGATCGATACAACACGTTCCACACAATTGAAAATAAAGTGTTGTTATACGATTTTATGAAATTTTGTTAGTTATTATGAAAGGATCAAGACACCTTGTACTAAATTTGTTCCAAATAAGTCTCGATTAGGTAAATCGAGATTGTTTCACTTAAGCTGAGAAGTTTGTGTTTTTTTTTTAAATGAAAACGAGAGTGCTAAAATATTTATACTAATTGAAGGTTTGATTAAAATTTCATACGGTACTGTATCGAAAAAAAATTTGTTAAATTTTAATACATATTTCTTTAAATAGTACTAAGTAAACGTTTATTTATAATAAATAAATATTTACTCAATAAAAAATGATGAAGTTAATTAAAATTAATGATTTTTGTATCAAATGAATATATGTGCCAACAAATATTGATTAAAATTTAGTATTTTTTTCAATGTGAAAATAAGTATATATACACACACTAAATCTTTATTTATCTTAACAGGTTAGCATTTTTTAATTTAGATCATTTAAAGCATTATGTAATGAACTCTTTGTAACGTTAAGGAATCTATCAGGATAGACGAAAAAAACCGAGTCAGCATCTCTTGATCAAGTGGCTGTATTTAGCGTCTAAACGAGCGTAACTTTATATTTTGCCGTAAAATTTTCATCCCTCGATAAATATATTTCTTGGTCGATCGTAGACTTGCGTTCGTGAAAATCTGCGAGGGGAGTCTAATCGACGGGAAACGAATAACCCCTTGATCCGGCGGCGTTTCACGTAAGATTACCAAACCGGCGATTACCGGCGTGATCGATCGTTCATTATCTTTCACAATTAATCGCGCTTCCTCGTCTGAGTCCACAGAGCGTCGAATGTTTAACGCGGCGCAGTCGATCCTGATGCAAAAAAGTAGCCTTGCTCGCGGTTTGCCGACGTCGGGAAATTGTTGATTAACACTGTTGATAATGAGTCCAAGCTTCAATTCCGCGACGCTGTTACAAGTGGGTCATCGAGCTACTCATGCAGAGAAGAATTTCTACTTTTCGGGACTGGTAAATTTTTGAGTGCTCAAGCACACTAAAATAAAGTTTGGTAATAGCTAGCAAATGTTGAGTGAAATAATTTCAATCAAATGTTCAGTTGACGTAGTCAAAAATAATTTTATTTTTCTAAATATTTAGTAATTGTTTGTAAATTGTTACTAAATGGTTAGTTATGTTATTATTTGATAATACTTACAAGGGAAGTTTCACAACTATCCGGCACCGATTTGATTCTCCATGAAATATGTGGTTAAACACGAAAATCTAAGAGACACATTTTTTTTATACGTGCCCTAACTTCCCTTAAACACGAGTTATGATTAGATACTAAATATTTGGAAAAGTAAAATTATTTTTGATTATATTAATCGAAAATTTAGTTGAAATTATTTTATTCAATATTTGGTCGAGCAATGTTGCAATTGGTTGCAAAAAGTTTTGACATTTTAGAAACTAGTGTGAGCGTCTTGCATAATTATATTGACAACAATAACAAAATTATTATCTGTATCTAACTAAATTTGGATACTTTAGCAAAACCGTTCTTTCCATTATTATGACGACAAATTTATACCTGTTTCTTACTATGTCGTTCTCTATTCTTATTACAAATTCAAATCGCGAAGCTTCTAGATTTTGTTACTGAACTTATTTTGAAATATTCCTATAATAATACTTTATTATAATTGCATAATCAAAAGATATTATCGTTACGGAAAAACAAACTTCGTCCAGATATCACGCAGTAGATATACATAATATACGTATATACATAATACGTACATACATAGGATCTATCTCTGGATTTTTCGCGAGATAAAAGAAAAATAAGACACATAACGTTTCTACAAGCAAAAATCTTATAGATCGCATTATCTTCAGCGTTTAAGCGCTACAAATAAGCTTCGTTCTGTTTACCGAACGGTAACGTTATTCGCGATGCGATCTTTTGTATTATATTATCTCAAACCGCTCTATTTGTCATCGCAATTCACAATCAGCCTGTTCCGCGAGGTGCGACTGAGACTTCTATCTCGCAGATCGTGAGAACGGAGTCTGAAATCCTTCACGCGCGCGTTTCAGCCGGCTGACGATCACAGCTCTCGAAACTACCGCTATTGATCGT